GTTTCCAAGGAGTTTAATCTTTACGGAAGTAGATTGCCCCACCTTCCTTCTGTGGAGCAGCTGGTGGATTTGAACCACCAACCTTCTGGTTAGCAGTCAAAGATCATCTTTTTTTCATTTGAACATTGAGCATATATATGCCAGCTCCCATCCTAAGCATAATTAATTTTTTGAAATCATGATGTGAATCACACATACATACATACATCTAAAATATATATTTTAAAAACTAAACCCATTGCCATTGAGAAGATTCCAAGTCATGGAGACTACATGTGTTATAGAGCAGAAATGCTCACTAGGCTTTTTGTGACTGTCATCATTACAGAAGCAGATCACCAGGACTTTCTTCTGCAGTGCCACTGGGTGGGTTTAAATGACCAACCTTTACATTAGCAGCCAAAACCAAATCATTTGTGTCACCTAGGGATCACTGTAAAATATATAACTACAGTTTAAAGAAAAAGAACCCACCCACCCTGGTGAGAAAGATTTCATTACTAGCACCTTCAAATTTGCTGAATGCCCCTTAAAATTTGCAGCACCTCGGTTTACCCTCAAAAGCAACATGACCTGAATTTTATGCTGATCGCTCCCTTCCTTTATTCTATAATTAGACCAATTTTGTTTGTGTTTGTGTCCTTAAACATTATCATTTGTTTTTTATTCTGTTTTTGAGCTTTGCATATATTGAATTCTATTGTATTTATTTTTCTATAACTTTCTTCTTTCAGTAAGTCCTTTTTTAAAAAAATACTGATTCATTCATTTACTGTCAAACATTTATAGTATTACATTTAATAAACATGGGAGATATTTGGATTGATTTGGGTTATGAAATGATGTGGGAGTTCTGTTAGCATAGTGCCTAAGGCATTTGACTGCTAACTAGAAGGCTGGCGGTGCAAACCCACCAGCCACTCCTTGGAAGGAAGGTTGAGCAATCTACTTCCGTAGTGATACCGCCTCGGAAACCCAAGGAGGGGTTGCTATGAGTCGGGTCCTACTCAACGGCACATATCAACATCAACAATATGAAGTGATGTTAGAACATCATTCAAGATGGAGCCTTGTGCTCATGTGCAACAACTTCTCAGGAGCACACAGGATTGGAATAGGTGGGTCTTAGGTGTACACATATCCAGCTTGCCTAGGTAATGCCAATGAGTATTCCAAAGTAATGACAGCAGAGTTCCCTTTGCTCCATTGTTTTGCTATGTGGTTGGTGGTCAGACTTACATAATTTGACCAATCTGGTAAAGTAAAATAGTATCTCCTTGTGTTTACATTTGTATTTTATGATTACTCATGAGGCTAAGAATTTTTCCATGTAATTTGTATTTTCTTTTTTATGAAAAGCCCATTTATGCCTTTTGCCCATTTTTGTATTATATTGTTTGTCTTTATCTTACTGATTCATATGTCATTTTTTTTTCTTTGGGGGATATTTTATAAAATAGCAATATTTCATTCACCCTGAAGAGGGAATAAATCATCAATATACTGTTTAAAGAATAATTTAAAATCAAACACCAGTATAGGCACTGTTGTTGTTTATTGTTATGTGCCGTCGAGTCGGACCTGACTCACAGCGACCCCTCCTTGGGTTTCCGAGGCAGTATCACTACAGAAGTAGATTGCCCAACCTTCAGGCACTACCCATGTCAAAAAATAAAATGTTAAAAGAATGAGGAAAACCAAAGACACATGGAAACAATTAGTCCAATGCACTGGTGTATCATGTGAACCTCAGCCTATAAGACCATGAGAACAGAAGAAATAGATGGTGCCTAGCTACCACTGTCAACCACTCAGAAAGAAATCAGTGCAGGAGATCCTGGATAGAGTGGGGGAAAAAATCTGGAACAAAACTCAAAATCATAAAAAGGACCAGGTTTAATGGCCTGATAGAGCCTGATGATACCTACGAGATCGTGGCTCCTAGTTACCTTCAAGTCTGGAATTGAACTCACTCCTGTGGCTTCCAGTCAAACAATAGACAGGCAGATCTGTTAGTTGTTAGAAGGACACAGGAAGAGGTAACTGAAGGGAGAAGTGGGAAGAGAGCTGTTACATTGTAGGGATTGTGGTCAATGTCATGAAACCAAATGTGTATAAATTGCTGTATGGAAAATGAATTTCCTTTGTAAACTTTCACCCAAATCACAATAATTTTTTTAAAAATAAATAAATAAAATATTGTTAATACTCCAGAAGCATTCCATTTGTTCCTTCCTGATCACAATCCTCTTCTTAACTCAGAAGTAATTACCAACCTGTTTTTTTTTTTTTTTTTTTTTTGGTAATTACTTCATTGCTTTTCTTTATAGATTTATCACCAGAAAATGTATCCCTTGATGGCATAGGTTAGTACTGCTTGCTTGTGAATGTTATAAAAATGGATTCCCACAGAATGTTTTGTCTTTTTTCATTCACCATTATGTTTGTGAGATTCATGTTGTTTCACATAGCTGTAGCTTCATGTAACTGTAGTTTGTTCATTTTTGTTGTTGTATACCATTCCATTGTATAAATACATCACAATTCCTCTAACTATTCTACTGTTGAACACTTAGTTTTGTTCATGTGAAACTTATGGGTAGACCAAGAGGCAGTTATTTGAAGAGAACAAGGGGATACTGCATGGCTTGAAGTCAGGAAAGGTGTACATTAGGGTTGTATCCTTTCATCATACTTATTCAATCTGTATGCTGAGCAACACACTGGTGGCACAGCCTCAAGACTCACAACAACACGTCACCACAGTAGGACAAACCGACAGATAAGTTTGTCTCCCTTAGCTGTTCGAAACCTCTCCAACCTCCCCTTACCTGGATCCCTGCTGCTGCCTTCTCGCTCTGTCTAGGTCCCCCTGGCCTTTTTCCTATCCTTTTCCCCACTTTCCCACCTTGTCACTTGTGGGGCGTGGCCTGAATTCCCTCCCCTCACCTGGATTACTGCAGCTGCCTCCCTCCTCCTCTGTCCCGGTTCCCCTGGTCTAGCAAGTAAGTTTACTAGACTTTAAACAGGCAGCCAGAGTCATCAATTGGCAAATGAGGACACCTACAAACCAAAACTCACTGCCGTTGAGTTGGATCTGACTCATAGTGACCCCTCCTTGGGTTTCTGAGGCAGTATCATTGTGGAAGTAGATTACCTCATCTTCCTTCTGAGGAGTGGCTAGTGGACTTAAACCACCAGTCTTCTGGTTAACAGTCACATGCCTTAGGCACTACACCACCAGAGTTGTTTGTGTCCGGAATGTCCTCATGGTTCGCGACAAGTGGAGCCTATTCCTAAGTCCCTGGAATCTGGGAGAATGCTGTCGTACGTGGTGCACAGGTTTCAGCATAGCCTGCAGACTGAGGTAGACTAGGAATAAGGAAGAGGCCATCCATTTCTCAAAGAATCAGCCAGGGAAAACATTATGAATAGCAGAGAAACACTGTCTGATATATTACTGCGCAACTTTATGAATAGTCCTGAAATGTTGTCCAATACAGAGGAGAAGGATGAGTCACTTAAGTTAGAAGACTCTCAAAATACAACTTGGAAAGATCTGCATCATCAGAGCAAAACCAGCCTTATTGATATAGATAAGGTAAAGCTTTCCAGACTTCCATTTGCTGACGTGGCACCACTCAAATTGAGGAGAAACAGCTGCAAACACCCATTAATAATGGGAACATGGAATGTACGACGTATGAATCTAGGAAAATTGGAAGTTGTCAAAAATGAAATGGAACACAAAGATTGATATCCTAGGCATTGTTGTTGTTGTTGTTATGTGCCGTCGAGTCAGCCCTGACTCATAGTGACCCCTCCTTGGGTTTCCGAGGCAGTATCACTACGGAAGTAGGATTGCCCAACCTTCCTTCTGAGGAGTGGCTAGTGGGTTTGAACCGCCAGCTTTCTGGTTAGCAGTCAAGTGCCTTAGCCACTACGCTACCAGAGCTTCCTATCCTAGGCATTAGTGAGCTGGAATGGACTGGTTTTAGTCATTTTGAATCAGACAAATATACCATCTGCTATGCTGGGAATGACAATTTGAAGAGGAATGACATGGCATTCAACATCACAAAGGATGTTTCAAGATCTGTCCTGAAGTACAATGCTGTCAGTGATAGGATAATATCCCTACCCCAACAAGGAAGACCAGTTACTACAACTATTATTCAAATTTATGCAAAACTACCAAAGCCAAAGATGAGGAAATTGAAGATTGTTATCAACTTTTGCAGTCTGAAATTGACTGAACATGAAATCAGGATGTGTTCATTATCACTGGTGACTGGAATGCAAAAGTTGAAAACAAAGAAGAATCATTGGTAGTTGGAAAATTTGGCCTTGGTGACAGAATTAATGCTGGAAATCGCATGGTAGAATTTTGCAAGACCAATGACCTATTCATTGCAAATACCTTTTTTCAACAACGCAAACAGCAGCTATATACATGGACTTTGCCAGATGGAACACACAGGAATCAGATTGACTACACCTGTGGCAAGAGGCAATGGAAAAGCTCAGTATTTTCAGCCAAAACCAGAGATCCGGTGGTGTTTCCTTCTCCTGTGCATGGGCCCGCTGAGTCGGAAACGATTCAAAGTTACCTAACAACAACATGACAACAGAGGAATGCTGTTGCTTATTCATTACACTTACTGCCTGTAATGTTTTAAAGCGTTTGTGTTTACTAAGGTTTTCATTATTACATGTGAAAAGGCCAGTTTAATTTATTTTCCCTGTGGGACTATGAGTTAAAAACACCTAGGAAGCTAGCTAATCGCTATGTCACAAACCGCAGCCCCGCCGGTACTAAAGATCCTTGCGTAAACCAAAAACGCCCGTGCCGGCTGGGAGACTCCGCGCAGGCGCACCAGGGCCTTGCCGCGGGTCTCCACATAGAGTGAAATGCGCCTGCGCAGGGACGCCGCAGCGCCCGCCCCCCCGGCCCTCTATAAAGACCGCGCGCGCTTCTCCTCGCGAGAGGCTTGTTTCTCATGCTCGCGGCGGGGGTCGGAGTTCAGAGCGAGCGTCTCGCGGGCCGGAGGAGGAAGATGGCGGTGGAGTCGCGCGTCACCCAGGAGGAAATTAAAAAGGAACCGGAGAAGCCGATCGATCGGGAGAAGGTGAAGGCCTAGGCGCTTCATGATGCGGACGGAGGTGGGGCCGCGGCCGCATGGAGAAGAGCGAGATCTGGGGGTTGGTGGCGGCGGCGGCGGCGGCCTGGTGCGCCAGGCGGCCCGAGGGAATTCTGGGCGGCCCGAGGGAACACCTCAGAGCGCTTTTTTTCTATTTTAAAACTTCTGCCCATGTTTTTCCACCTCCTACTCAGACATGCCCGCTGCTGCTGCGGGTCTTCACCACCAATAACGGCCGTCACCACCGAATGGACGAGTTCTCCCGCGGAAACGTTCCCTCTAGCGAGCTGCAGATTTACACTTGGTGAGAAGCCTGCGCAGGGCGCGTGGGCATGTGGGTTAGGGACCCCCATCAGTGATCCGCATCTATAACTAGTTCCCTTTGCTCTTTTTCATTTCAACGTAACCCTTCCTCCTTTTGGGGTCTTTGGACGCAGGTCTTGGAAAGTTAAGAGATTTTAACTGTAAGTAAAGGGAATTGGCCCATCTGTAATGCTTCTATAATTAATTTTGAAACTTTTGGGTTATTACGAAATGACAGGGCCAAGATTGCTATCAGTATTATGTGTGCCTGTTTGAAGAATAGTTGAGTTGTTGTAACTGTTCTTAAGGAAAGTCACAGTCGTATAAGTGGTATCGGAACAACATGAGAAGGGAAAGTGATGCCGTTGAATGGTTGGTATTTGTTAGGCTCGGAAAATTTCCATGCAGTATTAAGCTTTTGATGCAAAGCACCAGAAAAATAAAAATAAAAAAAAAAAAGCAAGTGATTGCTGCTGTGGAAAAACTTCTGGTGCATGTTTCATGAAGACTGGCTCCGGAATCTTTTGCCTTTGGGTACCTTCTACCCCCAGGTCTTACTAGGGCCATCCTGTACTACAGGCTTATCTTTTAAGGCTGCATGTGCAGATCCCTTGGTTTGACATCACAGTGTCTGTTTCGTAGCAGTGAAGGATGTGTAACTTTAACTGTAAGCACCGTGTGTTGCTGTTATGTGCCATGGAGTTGGACCTGACTCATAGGGACCCCTCCTTGGGTTTCCAAGGTGGTATCACTATGGAAGTAGATTGTCCAACCTTCCTTCTGAGGAGTGGCTGGTGGGTTTGAACCGCCAACCTTCTGGTCAGCAGTCAAGTGCCTTAGGCACTATGCTACCAGAGCTCCTAAACACTGTACTGGAATTAAAATCTTTGAAGGTTGGGGCCTTATTTATCTTTTTGGAGGTGCTTGTTAAATTTATGATTCTAGTTCAGCATCAGTTACTCATAGGGTGAAAGTTCCAGGAAGGTTAATTTAACTTAAAAGGTAGACTGTTCAGTGATGGATTGATGAAAACCTGTTCAGAGATGTAAGAGTTCTTATTACTTGCTGGAGTGGTGCAAATGGTTAACATGCTCTGCTGCTTACTGAAAGGTTGGAGGTTCAAGTCCCCCTAGAAGTACCTTGGAAAAAAGGCCTGATGATCTACTGTAAAAACAGCCAGTGGAAACCCTGTAGAGCGTAGTTCTGGTGTGACACCATGAGTCTGAATTGATTCAGTAGTAATTTGTATTAACTTGCCAGGTGCTGTACCCTTTTACATTGGTTATTCCTAAAGTTTTCACTGGCCAGTTCCTTGAGAGGTGGGTGGCCCCTTCCTTCTGATGAGTCTACCTTAGTCTGGAAGCTCTGCTGAAACCTGTCCACCATGGTTGACTCTGCTGGTATTTGAAATACCAATGGCATAGCCTCCAGTCTCATAGCAATACGTAGGCCACCACAGTACAGCAAACTGATGGATGCGATTACACTGGGGGTGTAAAGGAGAGAAGGTAGTCCCCCTGCCTATAGTGATTTTAGTCTAGAGGAGAAAGCAGAAGAGCAAATGAAGTATGTAAGACATTAGGGTTAAGATGGCCACAGACCCTCTACTCCCGATCAAGGCACAAAGATTACCAACAAATCATGTCCTAAATACATAAACTTTAAACATGAAAAGAGCAACCATAGGTCATACCTTCATATGTGGCCAAAGAAGACAAAAATTCTGAAAGAATGGGTGGTTGGTGTGGGTGTAGCATAGCATTCCCCACTCCAGAAGCAGTAATGAGGGAATATTCATTAACCAATCTAGGAAGTCTCATTAACATTGTTCAGTTTGGAAAAGTAGACTGGGGGGTAAAGTAGGAAACCCTAAAAAATAGTTAAGGAAAAAAATGTGTGGAAGTCCAGAGGAGCTCAGCAGAGGTTGAATTTACCAAAGTCCAAGGCACTATATGGGATTAGGAAACGACATACTCCACAAGAGTGGAATATATTCTGTGCGTAGGTAGTCATTAAACAGGTACTGCAACAGAACCACCTAGGTCATTGTATGAGGCAGGTTTTCAGACCAGAGAAAGGCAAGCAGTTGGAAATTACAGAAAAAGATTTATTGCAAGGAATTGGCTGATATGATTGTGGGGTCTGGCAAGGCAATTCTCAACTGTGTAGGGTAGGCCTCTAGGAAGGACAAGTTGGAATTCTTGATTCTGAACCAAAGCTACTATCCACCAGTGAGATTTCTTCTAAAGGAAAGCTGTAGCTCTGCTCTTAGGCTTTTCAACAGATTCGATTAGGTTCACTCAGGTTATCAAACACACTCTCCTTAATTTAAAGTTAACTGATAGGGACTTTAATCACATCTGCAAAATAACTGACAACACCAACTAGATAATAGTTTTGAATAATTGGGTACTGGCAGCCTAGTCACATTGAAGCATAAAACTAACCATCTTGGAACTAATATGTATCTCCTTAAGCCATATTTAGTCTCCAAATAAAGACAGTAGGAATCATACATACTTCTGCCTAACATGATAGAGCTATCCTAGGCATGTCTGAAAGCACGCTAACCTTTTCCTAAGAAGAGGATGCAGAGATGCTCTTCTCTTTTGACATCCTGTAACTTAAATATTAGGAGCTCTGGTGATGTAATGGTTAAGGCATTTGGCTACTGACCACAAGTTCAGTGGTTTAAACCCACAAGCTGCTCCACAGAAGAAAGATGAGGCAGTCTGCTTCTGTAAAGATTTACAGCCTTGGAAACCCAAGAGGGGTCACTATGAGTCAGAATCTATTTGATGGCAGTGGGTTTGGTTTTGGAACTTAAATACTATTATGAAAAGTTAGCTATTATATTAACTGTCATCTTATATTAGATGATAAAGGGATAAGGAAGAGAAGAAAACTATTTCGTTGGTATATAAACATTTCCTAAGAAAATAAGAAATACAACAATTATAGTCACTGCAGCGTGGTCACAGCTGGTATTTATAACTATTTTCTGCCACTACCCATTCCATATTCCCTTTACCCTGAGTAAGCACCTCAGCTGTTTAGGTTCTTTCCCTGGTCTGTGTCATAGAGCTTCCTTCCCGAAGGGTCTAAACCATTAAAGTCTTACCTGAATTTTGCTACTACAGTGTTATATTGACTTTACTCACAGGCAGTGGTAGCACCAAGGAGATGCCCCAAGGATCAACTAAGCACTGTGCTTCTTTTGGGGACCAGGTGCAATAACTTTGTTGTTGTTATTGTTGTTTACAATATATACAACAAAACACACATCAGTTCACCATTTCTTCTTGTACAATTCAGTGACATTGATTACATTCTTCGAGTTGTGTAATGATCTGCACCCTCCTTTTCTGAGTTCTGCCTCCATTAACATAAACCTTAAGATTCCTGTCTAATTTTTCGAGTTGCTGTTGCCACTTTGATCCCAAATAGTTCTTAAAAGAGGATAATACTAGACATATTTTACTAGTTAAGCTAAACTATTACTTGGTTTTAAGAAGCCTTCAGGGGATATTTTTGGTTTAAGATTTAAAAATTATCTCAGAGCAGTCATTTCATGGGTTCATCTAGCCTCCTTGGCTCTCAAAAGTCTGGAGTCCCTCAGAATTTGAAATTCTGTTGTGCTTTTTCCCCTTTTTGATCAGGATTCTTATATATAACATCTTGGGTCAAAATGTTCGGTAATGTAGCTGGCGCCATCCAGTTCTGGTCTCATGGCAAAGGAGGCAGTTAGCTACACGTTCCGTGTCCTCCTCCTGTTCCTAACTCTAGAAGAGATATTTAAATGTGCCCCACACCATTGGACCCCAAGCAATTTCACTGGGATACAAGGCCCCTGAATTTCTGTCAGATTTTATTTTCTATCTTTTAACTGCAAATGTCTTACTAGTATGTCTACTTGCTACTTCTTGTACAGCAGGCCCGATCAGTATAATAACATCAATGTAATGAACTAATATGATGTCAAGAGAAAGGTGATCAAGGTCCTTATGGGCTAAATTATGGTATAGAGCTGTGGGTTGCTATACCTCTATGCCACCAGAGCTCCCATTAAGGTAGGACAGTGAATGTGTATTGCTGGCCTTGCCAGCTGAAAGCAAACTGCTTTCTGGTACTCTTTACTAATAGGAATTGAGGGGGAAAATAAAAATTGGCAAATCACTAGCTGTGAACCAGGTACTAGAAGAAGATATATTAATTTTGTCAAGCAGTTAAACTATATCTGACTCATAGCTACCCCCCTTGGGTTTCCAGGGTGGTAGCTAAATCTTTACTGAAGTAGATTGCCCCATCTTCCTTCTGCAGAGCAGCTGGTGGGTTTGAACTGCCAATCTGGTTAGCCTTAGGCACTGTACCTCCAGAGCTCCGTATATGTAGAATAGCAGCTTTTATTGGAGTCACCACTTGGTTATGTTGATAGTTATTCAGTGACATTTTCCAAGATCTATCTTTTCTGCGCAGGCCAAATAGGCAAACTGAATGGAAATTACCACCCCCTGCATACTTTAGGTTCTTAATGTTTTATTTAATCTCTGGGATCCCTCCAGGAATGTGATTTTGCTTTTGGTTTATTATTTTTTGTAGGGAGAGGTAGTTGTGGTGGCTTCCATTTGGCCTTTTCTATCATAATAGGCCTTACTCCACACCGGGGAACTAGTGTGGATTCTGCCACTTGCTGAGCATATCTGTTCAAACTAAGCATTCCAGAACTGAGGAAACAACTGTAGGGTGGATTTGGGGACCCCCCGTGAGAACCTCTGGTAGCATAGTACGTAAGGCATTTGACTGCTAACCAGAAGTCTGGCATTTCAAACCCACCTTCCACTCCTAGGATGGAAGGTTGGGCAATCTACTTCCGTAGTGAAAATGCCCTGAAAACCCAAGGAGGGGTCGCTGAGTCAAGTACGATTTGACGGCAGTGTCTGTCCGTCTGTCTGTGAGAACCTAAGCTAAAACTCCATTGATTACCTGACGCCTTACTGTGACTGGTAGACCACAGTGATGGGTGGATTCACCATGTATTTGTCAGTTCTGAGGCAGTGTCCAGTAACCCCCTATAATTTTGATGATTTGCCAATGCAGTTGCCCTGGTAAAATGGTCTCTTTGGAGAAGGCTGGCAGAAAGATTTTTTATTGTTGTTAGGTGCCGTCTTGTCAGCTCCAACTCATAGCATAGCAAGAGAACTAGACTGCCTTTCATTCAAGGGTTCTGGGTCTATAGTTCAATTCAGGGAATTGGTTGAAGGGCTGTGACTCTGGTAATTCAAGTTAGATTGTGTTTACTCAATCTAGAGCTCTTCCACTTAGATCAGGTAAGCTTTTGGTACACTGCATAGCTGTCCTTTCTGGTATTCTGCCCTATAGGGACCCCATGGTCAACTAGCCAGTGCATTTAAATGTAATCAGAGTAGAGAATCAATTACAGAACCCAGAACTAATTCAGAAAACTCAACCTTAAGATTCTGTTCCACTAAAATCTTTGTCAGGGTTTAACCAGAAAAACCACCTGTGGCGGGGAATACATGGTAAGAGATTTATGAAATAGTGAGACCTGGCTAGGCAAGTCCTAAATTCTTAGGGTAGGGTAGACCATCAGGAAGGGGATTCTGGAACTCTGCAGCAGAGCTGATGCTGACCACAGGGGGAATTTCTTAGGCAAGTCTTAGGTTTGCTTTTAAGGCTTTTCATCTAGATGAATCAGGCCACTGGATTACCTAGGATAATCTCCTTAAAGCCAACTGGTTACAGACTATCCAAAACCAAATGAAACTCACTGTCATCAAGTTGGATCCAACTCATAGCAACCCCTCCTTGGGTTTCTGAGGCAGTATCTCTACGGAAGTAGATTGCCCAGTCTTCCATCTGGAGAGTGGCTGGTGGGTTTGAACTGCCAGCCTTCTGGTTAGCAGTCAGGTGCCTTAGGCACTACGCCATGGACTACCATATCACATCTACAAAATACTTCACAGCAACACTTAAATGAATGTTTGGTTGAATAGCGAGATTAGGCCCAAAACAGTCACCTCCAAGACAGATTGAAGAAAAAAAATCATTCTGGCTTCAGACTTCATACCATCATTGGAGAACAGTGGGGGCAAAATAAAACTACAGAATTAGAAGAGGGGAGAGGAGGTACCATGGGAATCTTTACCTGAAGCTTTAAAGTTCCTTCTGTAGCTTTTTTCTTTGAATTAAAGTAAAATTAAATACTATAACTTTTAATTGAAATACATATATAATACTTCAAGCGTGGCTGTTTTTTTTTTTGGTATTTATGGTACCAGAATATATGCTTGATAGTTTAAGAAATACTTTCCTTTGTAGCATTGTGTGGAAGCACAAAAAGATGGTTACAGCGGTATTAGCATGTTAAACTGGTTATTTATTGCATTATTGCATTTGGTTTTTTAAAAAGATTTACAGCCTCGGAAACCCAGTGTGGGTTGCTGTGAGTCAGAATCAACTTGATGACTGTGAGTTTGGTTTTGAGTTTATCATTTTATTTAAAAAAAAAAAAAAGAAAATAGGCAGAGTTGAAGGCAATTTGTAGGGAATTAAATTACGGGAGATTGAAATGAAGCAGAGGGAAGAGATTGATTGGATCTGTATTTAGAAAGACTCTGTAACAATAGAGATTGGAAGATCTGAATAATTCTTAGGTTTATAACCTGGGCACCTAAGTGCGTAAGACAGGAATATAAAAGGAAGGGCATGGTTTTGGGGAAGACATGGAATTGACTCTAAGCAGTGGGTTTGGTTTTCATTGAGTTAGAAAGATTTGATCGCAGTACGGAATGGAAAGTGATGTTATCAATATTTTTACTGTTGGATATGGTTGATGCCTTGCCTTTACGTGAGGATGATGTGGTGGGGACTTATAATTAGGGTGCTGAGTTGAACTAAATGACCCCTATAGAGCATAGAGCTCTGGTAGTGTAGTGCCTAATGAACTTGACTGCTAACCAGATGGCTGGTGGTTCAAACCCACCAGCCACTCCTTGGAAGGAAAGTTGGGCAATCTACTTCCGTAGTGATACTGCCTCAGAAACCCAAGGAGGCATTGCTATGAGTCGTGCGGGTCTGACTCAATGGCAAATAACAACAACAGTTGAAAACAGTATAAAAAATGTATGTTGTTGTTGTTGTTATGTGCCAGCAAGTCAGACCTGACTCATAGCGACCCCTCCTTGGGTTTCTGAGGCAGTATCACTACGGAAGTAGATTGCCCCATCTTCCTTCCGAGGAATGGCTGGTGGATTTGAACCGTCAGCCTTCTGGTTAGCAGTCAAGTGCCTTAACCACTATGCTACCAGAGTTCCCATTAAAAAAAAAAAAAAAAAATGTATAGTTTGTTCTTGTTTCTATGTTGTTTATACTTTAAAGATTTTTACAGATTGTGCTGTATTAGCTCAAAGGGCTACCTTCAGTTCAGAGTTCAAATAAGTATTTTAGGGCAGAAACTTTGAAAAAGGTGAAAGGAGCCTGTACATTTACATTTAGTCTTGAGGATTTTATCCATAAGTTTTGTTGACTCTAGGACACCATCTGTTATAAAATTCATCATGTTTCTATCTAAAGAAAGTAAAAACACTGCACATCTTAATGAAAATTCTTTCTTAGAACATCAATAGTAGATGTATTCCAATTTAAAGAATGTTAAAATGTGGGAGAGTACATGTCTTAGTGGTCACACTCATAGCTGCTAACTGAAAGATTGGCCATTTGAACTCTGAGTGGTTCCACTGAGAGAGACCTGGCGATCTGCTTCTGTAAAGATTAGAGCTCAAAAACCTTATGGGGGTAGTAAGATGTTACATAGCAACAGAGGATGCACATATGGTCTCTGAATTCCTGAAACACTAAGAATCTGACTCTAATTCATCAAATTTTCAAACTGAGGCTGGTGACGGGGTTAATAGTAACTTAGACAAATGCAAACGCCTATTGTATGTCGATATCTGTGTTAATTATTGCTGATAATCCAATCTTTTTTTTTTTTTTTTTAATTCAGGATGGATGCAACCTTGAAAGAACTGACTAGTTTAGTAAAAGAAGTTTACCCAGAAGCTAGAAAGAAGGGCACACACTTCAATTTTGCAATTGTTTTTACAGATCTTAAAAGACCTGGCTATCGGTAGGTAACTTTTAACTTACAAGCAATCCCCAGGAATGAGATCAGTTTTGAACTGTGTCTCTGAGTCTTTAAGTGGAATTTGTAGTTGAGTCAGAAATAGTTTTCCTTTAGCCTTACTTCAGTGCAAGAAAAGGCTCAAAGCCTTTCTAGGGATTCAAAAGCTGCATGTACAGCAAGTGAAGGTGGTTGTGAAGATTTTGTTGCTGATTAGGGGGTGCGGTTTGGTTAGATCTTTTCAGAGTAAGGGCACATTTGTTAACTTTAATGGTGTGTAACAGTTGCCAACTTTAACCCAGGGACTACCTGTAATTCCTTTCTCTTTTTGTTTGGAGTGTATTTTAACTAGTAGGAGCAACCCCTTTAATGCCTCTTTTTAGTGGGGAAAACATAGATAATCTTAGTATCTGGTTTAGCTTAATATATTGTTAGGTGCCATTGAGTCACTTCCAACTCATAGCAACCCTGTGTGTGACAAAACGAAACGCTGCTGGTCCTGCACGATCCTCACAGTCACTGACATGTTTGATCCCATTGTTGCAGCCACTGTGTCAATCTGTCTCATTAAATGTCTTCCTATTTTTTGCTGACCTCTGCTTTACCAAACATGATTTCCTTTTCCAGGGACTGGTACCCCTTTCCAGAATACATGAGACAAAGTCTCACTATCTTCCATTCTGAGGAGCATTCTAGCTGTACTTCTGTATAATCAATATTCTTTGCCAACCCAAAATCAGCTGTATCAGTTCTTTGGTCTTACACATTGTCCAGCTTTTGCATGCATATGAGATGTTTGAAAATGACGTGGGTCAGGTGTACTTTCATCCTCAAGGCAACATCTTTGCTTTTGCTTTTTTAACACTTTAAAGAGATTTTTTGTGACAAATAATATAGGCGCTCTGGTGACATAGTGGGTAAGGCATTTGACTGCTAACCAAGAGGTTGGCAGTTCAAACCCACTGGCTGCTCCATGGAAGAACAATGGGGCAATATCTACTTCGGTAAAGATTTGCTATCTTGGAAACCTATTGGGGGTCACAGTGAGTTGGAATCCATTCAGTGCCAATGGGTTACACTTAATATAGTACTTCGGTTTCTGAACTGTGTTGAAGAAAGATGATGGATTGACTCCGTTCCCTTACTCACTCTGTAAGTAGGTATTACATTTTACTGATTTCTGATCCATTAACAGCTGGTTTCCTTTCCTCCAGAGTAAAGGAGATTGGCAGTACCATGTCTGGCAGAAAGGGGACCGACGACTCAATGACCCTGCAGTCGCAGAAGTTCCAGATAGGAGATTATTTGGACATAGCAATCACCCCTCCAAATCGGGCACCTCCTCCTTCAGGGCGCATGAGACCATATTAAATTTTATTTACTGTTTCTTGAATGTATTTTCCAGTCAGTTATGTAAAATAAACATACATTTTCCTCCCCCTGATTATTGCCATTAAGCCTTTAAACAAATTGTAACGCATCTATTTAGGTTAGATTTGACTGTTATGCTATGAATATTAATAGTCCGTATTGTTTCAAGCTCTTCTGTAAAATATGAAGAAAAGTGCTCTTAGCATTGTGTAAAATTGCATCGTTAAATATATGTGTGCAATCAACCTGAGTCTGAAAGTTAATGGAAGAATGGGAATAGGGTTTAACCTAATAATATTTGGGGTTTATGCTAAATGACGAGAAAGTGTTGTTTAAGCCTAAATGAGGCAGAATGAGGAAGCCATGGGATTGTGTTATATAGTGCAGTATTGTGTAGTATAGGCTGTGGTGCACAGAAGGACCAGTGTGAATGAGGTGGCACTTTGTAAAAGTATGAGCTGAGGTAAATTAGAAAAAGGAGAGTGGTGCTACTACGAGGGCTTCTGATGGTTTAAAATGGTGAGACAGGGCACTTTGAAGGAAGAAGCTGATATAGAAGAAACAAAGATTTGAAATTAGGGTTCAGGGTAGAAAGGTTCACTTTGAAGAGGATTAGAAAATGCAGGGAGGGTTAGAAGAGTCCTCTTAGGTCAAGTAAAGAAGAGCCAGGGATGGAGGCAGGCTGAGGGAATATTCACTCGGTCTGTTCTGTGCCAAGGACGTGTGTGTGTAAAATTTGAGGTCACATAGCTGCGTGATTGGCAAGCCCCAGTGAGTGAGCTGCAGGTATCGGTTCTGACTGCACCACTGCTCTGCAGCCTTGGACTAGCTACTCGAATCAGTTTTTGTTTTACGAATTTGAGATAATCACCTATACCGTTGTGAAGATTAATTATTTGTGAAAGGCTAACATAAAAGAAACAAACATTCATTACTAGCCACAAATAATTTAGTCAGAACCAAACTAAACTTCCATGGACTATTTGTTTTGAAGTATGGCAGTAGGTAGTAGGTAGAGTCTGATAATTCATTGAGGTAGCCTGCCTACCTACCTACCTTTAATGTCTTACAACAGAAAACTGAAAATGTGTATTTCAAGAACGTATATATACTAAAGATTTCAAATGTAAAATTGCTTTAGTTTTGTCTTGTACATACCAACAGCCATTTAAAATGATTCTGTGGAATTGGTATCACTGTTGGACAAGTCAGCAAGTGAGAGACAAGCCTGGAATCTAGATGTAGTGCCTTTTCCACCCTGTAGTTTATCCCAAACCCTTAGATTATATATGTATATCCATTCAGATGAGATAGACTTGAGTTCTGTATGCTGTAAAGTTAATTTGAGCCTGATTTCTTGAAGAAAAGGAGCTATGATTACCATCCTATTTGTAGGGGAAAAAATGGTGACTATGCAGATCATTATAAGAAGTAGGCACTAAATAAAAGACCTTTGTAAGCCAATTTATTTTACAGTGTGAACTCTTATAATGAGGGTTTCCAGATTCTCCCACTAGTTTAAAATAAAACGGTTTGATTTTTCAAATTCTGCCATTTGGTTTCAGCATGAAATTTTTCTCTTTAAAAGATTCAGTCTTCCACCAAAAGTACAGTTAAAGAATCTCTAGTGACTTACTGCATTGTATGGAATGCTAAGAATCAACAGATTTGTCCAGCTGCTCCCCACTTAACAACTATCTCATTACCCAACATTTTGCATTTACAACAGTTGAAAAGATCTCATATCATTTTGTGTATTAACAGAGGTTTGGAAGTAATGAATACCAGCCAACGTACGAGGTGAGAGTAAGGCTAGTTGTGATGGTTATGTGTCAACTTAGCTGGGCCATGATTCTCGACGCTTTGGAAGCCATGTAACGACACAGTCTATCCTCCATCTACACAACACCTATCTTCACAGAACAATCTTGTCTTTGAAAACTCATGTTGGTAATGAGTTGTTTCCTCAAATATAAAATATAAGGGGGTCATTATGGTTAAGCACCATGGTTAAGTTCCTTGATACTTGCCTTGACTTTAGGTGCCTAGGCATGCCACTTAGGTGTCTAGAAGTGCAATTTTCCCTTTGGAAAATGTGAGATACCAAACTCAGTGCTGTGGAGTCGATTTGACGCATAGCAACCCCTCCTTGGGTTTCTGAGGTGCTGTCTATGGAAGTACATTGCCCAGTCTTCCTTCCAAGGAGTAGCATAGCACATGGCATTTTTTCCTGTATCTGGTTTACTCACAATGTGCATTAAATTGGCATTTTTGATTATTTACCAGATCCTCAATAGAAAATCTTTAAGATTATCTGTAAGTGTTTGTACAAAGTCACTGCAGCTGTTATACTCCTCTTCATTGGATCAGGTGATGTTTCAGGCACCCAATTTTACATGTGTGTAAGATTACCGAACTGTCTACCAGTCGGACCCTACTCATAGTGACACCTCCTTGGGTTTCCAAAGCAGTATCACTATGGGAGTAGATTGCCCCATCTTCCTTCTGAGGAGTTGCTGGTGGGTTTGTACCATCAGCCCACTGGTTAGCAGTCCAGTGCCTTAGGCACTATGCTACCAGAGCTCCCCTACCTGTATTAAAAACATGAATTTCAAACTTTCTTTGAAACTGAGAAAGCAACATCATAAACCCAACAGAAGCATGTCATAGTATGATTTGAGCATATAACCATCATATTACATAAAATTACTATGTAGTAGAGTAACATAGTTGCCATTTCACCAAGGAGAGTGAGACCTAAATTAAACAGAAGTGGAGCTTATGAGCCTAGGTAGACAACTAGAGAGTGAGTTGAAATCATCAGTTTCCAGAAACTAAAAGTTTCTTTTATTCTCAACTCACTGCAGTTGGCTTCCTCCACATTGTCCCACTGAAACTTCTGCTGTAGTGAAGTTACCCCTGGAATTAGAAATGGCTGTTCAGGGAGTCACAGAGAATGACCTGTTTTATTAACACTTTTTATGTAAGCCAAAAACGTAAGAGTGGTTGGGAAGAGCAGCCAAATGAGGTTTGCCCAGTCAGCTTTGTACTTGATTGCTTGTGTAGAGGTGGATTTGCCAGTAGCTGTCATTTCCTGGAGTCTGCAATGGAACAAGTTTGAAGGAAATATTGTTTATTCTGTAAGAAAGGATTAATCATGACTAGGAAACTGTTCTGGTTACCTACTGTTGCTCTGACAGGAATATGCCACAAATAGGATGGCTTGAACAAGCAGGAATTTAAAATTTTGGAGATTTTTAGTCCAAGTTTGAAGTGTCTGGCTCTAGGGGCTTGGTGAAAGCCCCTCGACCTTGAGCTTCAGCTCTGCCTCTTGCTCCCAGCCCACTGAAGCTGGAGGCTTTTCTTCACTCAGACAGCTGGTGGCTACTGAGGCTGACAAGCCCAAGGTTGACAAGTAAAAATATGCAGTACCAATGTTACCAAACAACATGGCTGGCTCTTGAACAACTTGGCTACATGCAGGGTTCAGGTGTGCCAAAAGCTAGAGAACATTCTGAAAGATTCTCCTTATAAGCAGGAAGCAGACCACATCCCTAAAGCAGCTGCTCACGGCAGATTCCACCATGGAATTGATTGCCAGTCTCATCATGGGGAATAACTACCACCAGTTGCCCAGACACTCAACCAGGCCCAGCCAAAGTGACAACTTTAACTACTACAGCAACTATCTTATGAAGACCATGGCATGATTTTTTTTCTTCCGTAAGAAATTCCTAGAATGGAATAACCTAAAAAGCAACTTTAATAAGCAAAAATCATTAGCCTGGGATGTTCTGCAGAAGTTAATGAAATGATACTTACAGGAGAGCCTGACAGATACTGAATGCTCAATAAATGTGCTATTTAAAAAGAAAAGGCACTTTATTTCCAGACCCCTCACTTTGTGCCTTGAGTCGTTTCTCTCTCCAGTTAGCAAGGCAGCCCAGTCACAACTTCTAAGAAAACGTCATAGATAGGATTTGATGTAATTAAAACGATGAAGGTGAGCCTCCCAAGAATCTGTAAATTCTATAGATGATGATTTTTGGAACTTGTTATGAGAATTTGGAGTATAAATGATCACATTTCAGCACTTTGCCAGGGAATAATATAATGAGGGCCTCTCACACACGAGGTACTGTTCTGGACTTAGGGATACGAAGATAAACCTGACCCACAGGTGCTTCCTCAGAGTCTTACAGTCTGTTATGAAGGAAAAAAAAAAATCTTTACTCACTGCCATTGAGTTGATGCTGAGTCATAGCAACCCCCACTGGGTTTCCAAGGCTGTAAATCTTTACGGAAGCAGATTGCCTCATCTTTCTTCCATGGAATGGCTGGTGGGTTCAAACCACTGACCTTTTGGTTAGGAGCCAAATGCCTTAACCAGTGCACTGCCAGAGCTCCTTTTTATTATGGAGGAAAGGTGTAAATACCAGTAACAAAAGATGGACTGAAATGTGTCATGAGAAAAATACAGGTAAGTTAGGATAATGAAAGGCTACCTGGAGATGGTATCTGAGCTTGTCCAACTCCTAAAACAGGTTGAGTTTATGCTCCTGATAAAGAGTACAGCATGAACAAAGGTATAAAGTAGAAATGGTATAAACCAAGGTATATTAGAACTCACACCATCATGGAGCACTATACTGATTTTGGCTGGAGTTCAGGATAAAGTATGAATGTCAGGGCCTAAGTTAGGTGAGAACTGAGGTAGGGTAGAGGGCAATGAGTATATTGCAGAGTGTTACACACCATGAATAAGGCTTGCCAATCAACAATATTTGGGGTGAGGAATAGACACAGAAGAGAAAACAACTGATTATTAAGGCCTCAACTTCATCTCAAGACTGATATTGACAGTACCTACCTCTTCAGAGCTATAAGAATCAATGAATTAATGAATGTGAAATCTTTGGAACTGTACGTAACACACAGATCTGAGTAACTGATGTTATAATTAACTCATGCAATACATATTTTAAGTCATTAGATAGCAGCATGATGAACAAAGCCAGCAAACCAAGTCCTTACCATAACTGAGCTTCTGGCCAGAGGGGAAGACAAGTATTAAATAAGTAAATGTACACTCAACAGTGAATTACTAATTCTATCAAGCACTAAAAAGAAAGAAAATAGCTGAGAAAGACTTAAGAGGAAGGACTTCTCTTGGACTGGGATGACAGGGAAAGTATTTGATAAAATGACATTTCGTCTGAGACCTGAAGCTTAAAAGCCAGAACTTTGTTTCAAATGATTCAAAATGTGGAAGAGAAAAAAAAAAGCAATGACTCGAAAGTTTTAAATAATGAGAAAACTCCAGTTTAAGCATAAGTTTGGTGGTGGTGGTGAAAATAGGCACAGCAAAACATACCAATTCAACATCTACAAGCACAACTGAGTGAAACCGATTACATTCTTCAAGTTGTACAACCATTCTTACCATCCTTTTCCAAATTATTCCACCACCAGTAACATAAACTCACTGCCCCCAAAGCTTCTTGAGTTACTATTGTTAATTTTATTCCCTACAGATAATTCTTTAAAAGAGCACAGTGCTCCAGGCAGATATACATTACTAATTCAGCTATTACACTAAACAACTGTTTGATTTAAAGATGACTTCAGTGGATAGTTTCAGTTTAAGGTTTAAAGATTATCTCAGGGTAATACAGTCAGGGGGTGGGGAAAGCCTCATCCAGCCTCAATGCCGCCAGGTATTCTGGAGTCTGAGAATTTGGAATTCTGTTCCACCATTTTACCCCTTTTGATCAAGATTTCTTCTATACAATCTTTGATCAAAACATTCAGTAATGGTAGTGGGATATCATGCAGTCCTGGTCTCATGGCAAAGAAGGGACTTGTTCATGGAGGAAATTACACACACATTCTAGTACTACGTTCCTGCCTCTCTTTCCTCTGCTGCCCCAGGTGAATGGAGGTACAATTGTTGTACCTAGCTTTTAAGACCATTTGCTAGCTTTTAAGACTCCAGGAATGATGTCACTAACTTGAACATCGAACAGAAACACTAAAAACATTATTAGGCTCATTGGGATGTCCCACGAAACCACACCCTATATCTCCAAGCCACTCTCATGAGGTGTTTGCTTGTCCAGCAGCAGCATTAGCAAGGAGTTTTCACTTCAGAGAAAAGCAAAGGAACAGAACCAGCTGGCTTCAAGTCCAGCTGAACCTTTGGGCTTGCTACCACACCTTGACCTTTTCTCACTCTTGCTCAGATTACTTTGAGTTGGCTCTACTGCCAGACAGACTCCTCATGGTGGGGAGATGGTGGCCAGCATCTCCAGGTACTTACCTCTGCAACTCCAGAAAAGAGGTGTGCTTCTCTTTTCCCACAGTTCCCCAAAGTCCCAGGATCTTATGGTCTTGACTTGGGTCACCTGCCCATCGCTGATTAATGTGGTCAGATGACTAATTTGCTTGACTGAGCCTGGAACTGAAGATATGTTCTTCCAGGAAAAGCAAGGTTTTGTTTCCTCTGGGAAAAAAAAAAAAAAAAACACCAAACCCACTGCCACTGAGTTGATTTTGACTCAGTGACCCCCACTGGGTTTCCAAGGCAGTAAATCCTTACAGAAGTAGATTGCCCAGCCTTCCTTCTGTGGAGTGGTGGGTAGGTTTGAACTGCCAACCTTCTGTTTAGCAGTCAAATGCCTTAGGCCCTATAGTAAATTGTGGGGCAGACTGAAAGGTTAGTTGTCTCTTACATAAAGATGACAGGGAGATTTAGGCGAGCACAGTAGGTGGGAAAAAGTATTCTAGGCAAAGAGAGCAGTATGTATGAGGCTATGAGGCCAGGAAGAAGTGAAGGATGGTCTGTGTGTCTAGAGTGCAAGAGGGAGACTGGCATGAGACTTGCAGAAATTGGGTTCAAAGTTTGTAGGCCCTATGAAGGGTCTTAGATTTCATTAAAAGGAAAAGGAAGACACTGAAGGGTTTTAGGCAAAAGAGAGATATGCTTGAAAGATCCAGTGTTTGAAGCTTGAGAAGTTAGAAGCATCAAAATTCTATTAACAGAAACTAGACTCACAGGAGAAATGTGGTGAGGCGCAGGGAAAGGTAAACTTTTGATGAATTTGAGGGCCACCACAAAACAAGTGGAAAGATCTATCAGGCAGTTAGAAACACTGGGTACAACATTTTTTACTTCCCATCTGAAATAAAAGCCCACCATACCTGCCACACCCATTTCTCTGCTCCTTCGTTAGCAAAACTCATCAAGACAGCTGTCTACACCCATTGTCTTCACTGCCTCATCTGTGTTCTCTTCTTCAGTGCACTCATGACTGCTGACCCCAGTACTCCACCAGAATTCATCTTCTCAGGGTTGTTAATAACACCAATTTTGCCAAATCCAATGGCTCATTCTCAGTTCTCCCTTCACTTGAATTCTCAGCAACATTTGACAAAGCTGGTTACTCTCCTTACAATATTTCACTCCTACTTCACTGACCTCTTCTCAGTCTCCTTTAGATTAATTGCTTTGCCTCTTTCCAGCCTCCAAAGTTTGGAGAACTCCAGGTTTCAATCTTTAGTACTCTGTGAAAATACTCACTCCCAAGCAATCTTACCCACTTCTGTAGATTTAAATACATATATTTTTATGGTAAACAGTGAAAGAAAGATTGATATAAATGTGGGCATTATCAGCATATACAAGGCTGACCTTGCATATAAAACTAATTTCTTTTTAAATCTAACTAAAGATTTTATATTTTCATTTGTTTATGTTATTCTCTACACTCCAGAAAAGATTTATCTAGTAATCTACAAAGTCTATTACAGCCCTTAATTTTTCTTCCCCCCAGTGGCCATTAGTATAGTTTCTTTCTTTTTTTTTAAGAGTTTGTTTTACATTCAACCAAAAAATAAAACTATTTTGAAAATTACCTGATGTTTAACCAAAATTCAATTGTAATTACAACTACACAGTAATTCTGAGAACAAAGAATAAATCAAGTGCTTAATTTTCAACGTTATAAGCGCACAATTTAACTTTCGAGGCACGATCATAGAAGAGGGTCTCTTGACTGCATCGGAGTCCCCAAAGCCTGTTGTAGCCTTTGGAGTACTTTGTCATCATACTTGTCAACTGTTTTCTTCTCCAATTTTTACCTCATCTCCACATCAAGCCAGGTCCTCAATTTCCTACTGTCTATAGTTTGAAAAGTTCTCCAACAAGCATTTTCATGAACTTGATGAAAGTAAAATTACTTTCCCAATTGCAGGTAGTCCCTGACTTAAGGTTCTATTCCTACAACTCCATCATAAGTCAATTTTGGTGTCAGATACTTCTTTTTTGTTGTTGTTGTTTAAGTTTTCATTATTACTGCCTTTTCTTACCAGTATCTTATCAATCCAATCCTTGTCTTTGGGAGTTGGCATGAGAATGATGACATCAGTAAATTAAATGCTGCAACACTGTATGTACTACACATGACTAACGGGAAGATGTGGGGGGGAAAAGACAGTTGTTAAGTACAAGTTAGTTGTAACTCAAATTTGTGGTAAGTGGGGGACTGCCTGTGTACGTCAATCAGAAGGGTCTTAGGCCTGATCTAAAGGGCCAATTTGAAGCCATCAGGGGCTGTAAAGGTATACAGTCTCCCATCTCCCTGGTCTGGTGACTGACCTGGGAAGGGCACCTACCCAAGATGAGTCAATGAGAATCCTTCCAAGATTTCAGAAGTTGGGACCAGAAGCCATGTAGTAGAAGAGCCTGATCTGAGAGGATGAAACTGACAACAGACAAAAGCTTGGAGATAAAATGAAGAAAACCACATATCCTGTCAGCGTGTGAATATCTGATTGCAACTGTCTGAGACCTACCACAGGGTGGTAGACCTAGGCCTATGAAGTCCTCACTTTTCCTAAATTAGTTTAAGTTGCACTATGTTTCTGTCACTTGTGAAAAAATACGGTCTTAAATAAAAGAGCATTTGCTGAACTAGAAGGTGTACAAGACATTGGGGCAGTCATGAGAACAGAGGAGAGGGGCAGAGCTAGAATCCAGGGAGAAGCCCTATCTGCATGGTTTGCTTTATTTGAGTGGCAAACAGGAGTGTTCAAATTTTTAAAATTATTTGAGCTGCTTCCTGATTTATTGAAAGCATTCCATTAGATTAAGCCAGGTAAATCACGAAACAGTAATTATCTCTAAAAGCTGAATGACTGGAGGCCATTTTAACAAGATCAAAACTTAACAAAAATCACAAAACAGTAATTATCTTTAAAAGCTGAATGACTGGAGGCCATTTTAGCAAGATCAAATAAAAACTTAACAAAAAGCATGTGATGATGTCAAATGTCCATGGTCTTCTTTAAAATGGATCAGTTTCAATGAGGACAAAAGGGAATGTGAATAACCAAAATAGCTCCATCTCTGCTTTCAATTCATTTGACTCAGTTTCTATAATGGATGAATCCACTAGCATTTCTGCAAACAGAAACAGGTACAAAGAAAAAATATCAATTAAGTGTAACTAAAAGCTGTCAATAATGCAGGTGATACAGTACTGTAGCTATGTATTTTTATATTTCTAAATGGCATAGTGCCTAAGGCATTTGACTGCTAAACAGAAGGTTGGTGGTTCAAACTCAACAGCCACTCCTCGGAAGGAAGATTGGGAAATCTACTTCCACAGAGATAACACCTTGGAGGGGTCGCTGTAAGTCAGATCCAACTCGACGGGAGTGAGTTAGGTTTTTTGGTTTTAAAATAGTTGAGAATAGATTCTGCATAGCATCATCAAACTGATATTTTAGGAGTCTGAGATACAAGGACCACACATTCTATATTAAAATTTAGGACAGGCTATTAAGCCACGCTGTCCAATTAAACTAAGAACAAAACTTTTTTTTACAACTATTAAAATATTGATTTTTAAATGTTCTAAAATAACACATACAATCTTTAGAAGAGTAACAGACTCACTTTCATCAGTTTTCTTTGTTGCAAACATCTTGAACATCTCGTCCATGTTTAGTAAAAAAGCCTTTCCTGAGTGGCACGGCTTTAACTGCTACTGGAGTAGCTAGGTTTGAATTGTATTTTGACAAAATCTAAAACAAAAAGAAAATTCACTTTTACCAAGTTCTATATGTCTAAACAACATAACAACATAAATTTGGAAGGTGTTATAAACATTTCCAAAAAGGTCTATGGAAAACTCAAGATATGAATTATTTACAACATGAAGAATTTTTTAGCAGTACATGTAAGACATCCAATAGTAATGAAAGACAGATTCAAATTTAATTTGAATGTAGAAACTAGGTTTCTAAAGCCTTCTAAAATGCACTCTATTTTTTCCAAGCAGCCAGGAAGATGACGGACACTCAGACTGAGCGTGTCTACCAAAAGTAGCTGACCATTTTCCAAAATGAAAAGAGGATCCTGCTGGGAGCAACTGGCAAGGAGAAGCTCCCGTGTTATTACAAGAACTTCAATCTGGGCTTCTAGGCACCCAAGGAGGCTACTGAGGGCACCTACATTGGTAAGAAATGACCTTTCACTGGTAACGTCCCAATCTGAGGATGTGTTCTGTCTGGAACGGTGATGAAGATGCATAGGACCATCATCATCCACCAAGAATACCTCCACTACATCTCCAAGTATAAGTGCTTTGAGAAGCACCACAAGAACATGTCTGTGACATCAAGCTCAATTGGCATAACGTACTGCACAAAAACATTGTTCCCACATCCTACTTGGGCAAGTAGCGAGTGGGATCTTTTTTTTTTATTACTGTGATTTGGGTGGAGATTTACAGAGCAAATTCACTTTCTATACAGCAGTTCACATACACTTTGTCTCATGACATTGACCACAATTTACCACAATGCAACAGCTCCCCTCCCACTTCCTCCCGATAATTACCTCTTCCCTGTGTCCATCCCTCCATGCACTCCTGCCCCCTGAGCTGTCTCCCTGTGCATAAGCAGCCCTTCTTCTCCCATGACTGTTCTCTCCAAGGAGTGTATCTACATCAGGTAAATGTTCAACTCATATGCCTGTCTTTTGTTTAGCTGGAAGCCACAGGTATGCGTTCAATTCCAGACCTGAAGGGCAGCTAGGGGCCATAGTCTCAGTGGTTCCCCTAGGCTCTATCAGACCAGCAAACCTGGTCTCCACCCCCTTTGTTTTCTACAAATGATTCTGAGTTTTGTCCACATTGTTCTCCCTCTCTATCCAGGATCTCCTACATAGATCCCCTTCCAAGTGGTTGACATTGGTAGCTAGGCACCATCTAGTTCTTCTGGTCTCATAGTTATATAGGCTGCAGACTGGATGGTGTACCAGTCGCTAAGACTGATTGTATTGATGAATTTTTGGTTTTCTTCATTCTTCTTTGCTCTGGACGAGGAGAGACCCATCGTTGCATCTAGATGGCAGCTTGCAAGCTTTTAGTAACTGGGATCTTAAAAGCTTGCAAGTGGCCATCTAGATGCAACAATGGGTCTCTTCTAATCCAGAGCAAAGAAGAATCAAGAAAAGCAAATATGCATGGAAACAATTAGTCCAAGGGACTGATGCACCATGTGATCCTAAGCCTATATGACTATGAGACCAGAAGAACTAGATGGTACCCTGCTACCATTGTCAACTACTCAGAGGGGGATCTATGTAGGAGATCCTGGACACAGTGGGAGAACAATGTGAAACAAAACTCAAAATCATGAAAAAAAAAAGGGATCAAGTTTGCTGGTCTGACAGAGCCTCATGGCATCCCTGAGTTTATGGCCCTTAGCTGCCCTTCAGGTCTGGAATTGAACCCACTCCTGTGGCTTCCAGACAAACAAAAGAAAGGCATATGAGTTGAACGTTTACACTAGATAGATACCTTCCATGTAGAGATCAATCATGGAAGAATAGAAGGGCTGTGTATGCACAGGGAGACAGCACGAGGGATAGAAGTGCATGGGAGGGAAGGACACAGGGAAGAGGTTGCTATGGAGAGGAAGTGGGAGGACAGCTGTTACATTGTGGGAGATTATAGTCAATGCATAAGACAAAGTGTATGTGAACTGCTATATGGAAGATGAATTTGCTCTGTAAACTTTCACTCAAAGCACAATAAAATTAAAAAAAAAGAAGACCCCCTGCTTTACGCACATCCAGATCAGTGACATCATCACAGTGGATGAGTGCCGGCCCCTGAGCAAGACCACGAGCTTCAGTGTGTTCAAGGTCACTGAGACCACTGGCACCAAGAAGCAGTTCCAGAAATTCTGAGCTGGGATGCCCGCCCCCTGCCCCCAAATTAAATAAAGCTATTTTTCTCCCAAAAATAAATAAATATAAAATAAAATGTACTCTAACTAAGGTTAATGGAAACAAGTAACAATCATTCCTGAAAACAAATTTAAGTCTTTACAAAGATATTTAAAACCAAACTCACTGCCATCGAGTCAGATCCAACTCATAGCGACCCCTCCTTGGGTTTCCAAGGCGGTATCTCTACGGAAGTAGATTACCCCATCTTCCTTTTGCAGAGTGGCTAGTGGGTTTGAATAGCCAACCTTATGGTTAGCAGTCAAATGCCTTAGGCAGCATGCCACCAGAGCTCCTCCCAAGATATTTGAGAAAACATATATAGAAAATACTTGAAATAAATGTTCAGAGGAAAGACTGTCAACTATCAAGACTATAAAGGGAGAATCTGAAACAGCAGCAATATTTTTTTCACATACAAAGAAGTGATACTTGAAATACATCCTCTCCTCACTTCTCAACATGGTTAGGTTCCAAGGACCAGGTCATTATGTGAAAATAGACAGTATGCAAAAATGGAGGATGACCACGTTGTTACATAACTGCCAAACCTCTGAGGGTTATGCATGACCCAGCCAGGTTGACACATTATCCTAACATCACAGCTAGAGTCACTCTAGCCTAGCACCTCAATGTTTGTTATTGCCAGACATATGTAGTTCATGCACAAAACAGTCAGATAGAATTTTTGCTATTTTCGTAAATGTAAAATCTCGGATAACAAGATAGTTGATAAGTGAGGAGAGGGTATACAAGGTTTCATTTCTTTCATACAAGATAAGGAGAGAACAGTCAACCAAAGTGAAGTGGAAATTCAATAAAACTCTAGAGAAGTGGCTCCTTCCTCAACCAGTTCACTGGAACTCCCAAGAAAGCAGAAAATACAGAGATAATAAAATAATAATAATAATAAAACATTTTAACAATATCTTAGGATGAGTTCATTCTAACAGCTTTTCAGTATTTTCCCAAGTGGCTTTATCCTTCTCATGGCTGTCCATAAGGTAAGAGGATTTCTAGAATGTTTATTGGGAATTCTACTTGCCTAAGCAATGATTTTCAAACACTACAACTTCTATTAAAGAGGAGCTCATCAAATCAGACTGGCTATCAGCAGAGTTGGCACCTATCCTAAACCATAGTACACTAGTAATTAATGATGCTGCACTAAAGAACTAACTGTTCTAATAAATCAGTGTTTCTCAGACTGAGGGCCAAGAAGTCGCAAGTTCAAGCGACACTGATGAAGTGATTCACAGTACTCTGTTGTGCAGAATTATAAGGTGTGGTGGTTAAGTCTGTGTGTCAACTTGGCTGGGCCTGGCTGAGTGGCTGGGCAGCTGGATATAGTTATTCCCCATGGTGAGACTGGTAATTAACTCCATGGTGGAATCTATTGGGTATGTGGTCTGTTTCCCGTATATAAGCAGCAGCTTTGGGAATGGTCTCCAGCCTATGGCACACTTGGACCCTGCATGTAGCCGAGTCGCTGTTCAGCAGCCTGCCATGTTCTGCCGACCTTGGGACTTTCAATGAACTTGAATTAATAGCCTGCTGTGTGGTTTGGTAACATCAAGACTGTGCCATTTTATTTGTTGACTTTAACATGAAGTTAAAGATAGAAAATATTCTGGGAGGCAAAGTATGACTGAAAATATGATGAAATAACTAGTGTGTGCTAATCTCAGAAGAGCCTTGGCCAGGTCGTCTCAGAAAGATCTAACAGAGCCTAGAATTTAGATTCTCTCGATGCCCAAATCAGCACATTGATCAGATGGTAAACAAGGCAGCTTTTATGCAGTTTCCATTCTTGAATATAAATACCTAATTTTTAACAGACTAGATAAGAAAATCGCCTGAAACAATACCTGGAGAATATCTTCTGGAATCGGAGTGACTTCTGGAGGTGTAGGTGTTCTGAGAAGATTCTCATAAGAAGAGATCTTAGGAGAAGAGGGATCTGCAAGGTTCTCAAAGCCTTCCTTTGAATTTACAACTAATGAAGTACATTCTTTCCTTTCCAAATCATTTGTCGAACTCTTTGTTTTTGATAATGGATGATCTGTGGGTACCTATTGAATAGAAATAAATCATTAAGGTAATATAATGTAGCAAATAAAAATACACCTTAAACTGTTCACTCTGTTGGAGTCTTTAGACCAAAAAAACCCAAAGCTACTGCCATTGAGTCATTTCCAACTCATAGCAACCCCCACTGGGTTTCTGAGGCTGTAAATCTTTATGAAAGCAGATTGCCTCATCGTCCTCCCACGGAGCTCTGGGTAGGTTTGAACCACCGACCTTCTTGCTTAGCAGCCAAATGCCTTACCCACTATGCCACCCAGAGCTCTAAGTTGTTCCAAAAGGGACATCTCTCTTCCCTGAGCTTTCAACAAAATAAAATTAAAAAAAAAGCCATGAGATGGCTGATAGAGACCAAATTACCAATGAAATTCCTAATAAAGGCTGCAGTACAGCTTAACCTGAGAATTAAATGGACTTATTGACTGAGCCCAAGATTTAAACAGATTCACCCACCCAGTCTCAGATAACACCAAGCTGGGCCAAGTAAGTGTCATAGCCTGGATAAGGAAGAGTCACCACATGCCTCCAACAGGCAGGCTCACTCCCACGAGGAAGGTGCACTTAGCGTGCAGTATATTCACATTAAATATACTAGTCAAACAGGTCACCCCATCTCCCTAGAGTCAGAACTAGTAAAGAGGGAGAGAGGCTGGGAAAGTCCTATCAGTAGAGTACTTTCCACACAAGTGGAAACCTAAAGAGGGGATTCATTGTAAATGGCAAGTACTGGCTGGCAGATAACCAGCTACTCCAACTGATAATAAAACATTGTGTTTGCCTATAGTTGTGTTGTACAAGAGAGTAGCCACTAGCCATATCCATGAGAGTTCTATAAGCTATTTAATTTTAAATTAAAATTAAAATTTTAAAGTTCAGTTTCTCTAGCCACATTTCAAGTGCTCAATAGCTACATGTGGCTAGTGTCTACCATATTGGACAGCACAGATTACAGAAGATTTCTACCACTGTAGAAAGTGCTATTGGACAGTCCTGGTTTACAATGTTCACACTGACCTCAAAAAGGAGTGAAGTTCAATTACACTAAATTTGTTCACTGGGAAAAATTGGGGGATAAAAGCATAAAAATCACCCATTATATCTATCACCCAGACATAACCATTTTACTGTGTTTCTCTCCATTCTTTTTCCTTAATAAAAAATGTGTATAACCATATATGTATATAACCACACACACATATATACACTTACTCATATAAAGTTGATATTATGTTGTTGTTAAGTGCCATCGAGTCGTTTCTGACTCATAGCAACCCCATGCACAGCAGAACGAAACAGTGCCCGATCCCGCACCAGCCCTATAATCCCTGCTATACTTGAGCCCATCTTCGCAGCCACTGTGTCAATCCATCTCGTTGAAGGCCTCCCCCTCTTTCGTCGACCCTCCACCCTACTAAGCATGACATCCTTCTCCAGGGAATGGTCCCTTCTGACAACATGACCAAAATAGGTGAGACGAAGTCTGGCCATTCTTGCTTCCAAGGAGTATTCTGGCTGCACTTCCTCCAGGACAGATCTGTTAGTTCTTTTAGCAGTCCATGGTACTTTCAGCATTCTTCGCCAGCACCACAACTCAAAGCATCAACTCTTCTTTGGTCTTCCTTATTCATTGTCCAGCTCTCACATGCATACGAGGCGATTGGAAATATCATGGCTTGTGTCAGGTGCACCTTAGTCCTCAAGGAGATATCCTTGCTCCTCAGCACTTGAAACAGTTCCTTCGCAGTTGACTTTCCCAATGCCACATGTCGTCTAATGTCCTGACTGCTGCTTCCGTTGGCATCAATTGTAGAACCAAGCAACGTGAATTCTTTGACAACCTCAATCTTCTCTCCATTTATTGTAATGCTGCTCATTGGTCCAGTTATGAGGATTTTTGTTTTCTTTATATTGAGACGTAATCCATACTGCAGACTGTTTTCTTCAACCTTCATTAGTAGGTGCCTTAAGTCATCCTCACTTTCAGCAAGCCAAGTTGTATCGTCTGCATATCTCAGGTTGTTAATGATTCTTCCTCCAATCCTGATGCCACGTTTGATATTATAATTAAAGTTTATTATATACTGCTTTTGAAAAACAAAACATGAGCATTTTTCTGTATTATTAAATATTTTTTTAAATTTTTAATTGTGCTTTGGCTGAAAGTGTGCAGACCAAATTCATTTTCCATACAGCAGTTCATCTACACTTTGTCTTATGACAATGACTGCAATTTCCCACAATGCAACAGCTCTCTTCCCACTTCCCACAGTTACCTCTTTCCTGTGTCCTTCCCTCCCGTGTACTTGAGCCCCTTGAGCTGTCTCCCTGTACATACACAGCCCTTCTATCTCCCATGATTGATCTCTCTAAGGAGTGTATCTACCTAATGTAAATGTTCAGCTGATATGCCTCTCTTTTGTTTGGCTGGAAGCCACAGGAGTAGGTTCAATTCCAGACCTGAAGGGAAGCTAGGGGCCATAGTCTCAGGGGTTTCACCAGGCTCTATGAGACCAGCAAACCTGGTCTTTCCTTTTTTTATGATTTTGAGTTTTGTTCCTCATTATTCTCCCACTCTATCCAGGATCTCCAGCATAGACGCCCCTCCAAGTTCTTGTGATCTTATAGTCATATAGGCTGAGGATTATATGATGTACCAGTCTCTTGGACTAATTGTTTCCATGCATCTTTGGTTTTCTTCCTTCTTCTTTGGTCTGGACAAGGAGAGACCCATTGTTGCATCTACATGGCTATTTGCAAGCTTTTAAGATCCTAGTCGCTATTTGCCAAAGTAGGATGTAAACAGTATTTTTGTGTAGTATGTTATGCCAATTGAGCTTATTGTCCCCTGTGACAATGGTTCTAAGCCCACAGGTCCAACAACTCATTTCCTCTGGGTAGCTGGCTGTGGCCAAGAAATGATTACAGCCTTGTCCCTTGTCAGCTCCACTATATACCTGGACATGTATTATTAAGTATTTTTAAAACATTCTTTTTATATGTTTTCAAAAAACATGAGAGTTCTATAAGACACTAGAGCTTATGGATATACCTTAATGTATTCTGCTACTATTATCATTTGACAAATTATTTCCAATGTTTTGCTCTGATAAATAGCACTGTTACAAAAAAAAACTTCATCATACATAAATCTTTGTCTCAATTTACCTTCAAATTTCTGAGACATGGTTGTTGTTGTTGTATGCCACCGAGTTGATTTCAACTCACAGTGACTTTAGAGGACAGAGGAGAACTGCACCATAGGTCTTCCTATCTTTATGAGAGCAGGTCTTTTCTTCCATGGAGCAGCTAGTGGGTTTGAACCACTAACTTTCTGGCTACCAGCTAAGCCCTTAGCCATTGCACCATTAGGGCTCCTGTGAGAGTTGGTTAAAGGGTGTAAAAAAAGTTGTAAAGCCATTGCTGTATTTGGCTACATTACCCTCTAGATATGTATTATAAATATATTCCTATAAGCTGTTTTAGTTTATATTTTTTCCCCAAACAGTTTCAAACTCTGAAAGTAGTGGTATTGCTAAGTTATTAGGAGAAACATTGGAGTTTTCATTTGTATCAAATTTCTGGAAATTTACCAAAGTTGTACTGTTATTTGTAGAAGGAATTTTCAAACCAGGTGTGCAGAATGTAGGTGCCAAGGGTGAACGTGTGTACTCAGCATCTAGAAGACACAAGAAATGGCATGAAAACAAAGTTGAAATGAAGATTGGTTATAAGCTTGGTCAATATAAATTGAGAACTTAAAAAAATGAGTAATTATCATGTGTTCTTGACTGGAAGGAAAAACAAAACTGTCATTATTCACATACATAAGTATTATTAACTACTTCCGTAGTGATACTGCCTCGGAAACCCAAGGAGGGGTCTCTATGAGTTGGGTCTGACTCGATGGCACACAACAACAACAACAGCATTAATAAAAACTCAGCAAGTTTACAAGGTACAAGGTCAATGTACAAAAATGAACAATTCTTGTATAAAAGCAATAAACAATTAAAAATATAATTTGGAAAAAGACACTTTATCACAATAGCAAGATACCTATAAGACAAGATACTTACAAATAAATCTGTTAAAAACTATGCAAGATATTAATGGAGAATATCAAACTCCTGAAGAAGAAAAAGGAAGAAGAGAGGAGAAAGAGGCAGTTACTTGACCTCCAAGATATCATGACTTATTCTAATGAGACAGTAATTACAAAGAGTGGATAACAGGCCAGGTACTGACAAATGGACAATCAGGACAAACAAGAGAACCTACGAACAGAGCCAAACCCACAGAGATATGTGATACCTGTAACAGAGTATTATCACACATCCTTAAAAAAAAATACAAGAAAAAGTAAACGTATCAGAATAATTATCTGACTGGCAAAATGCATTAAGTCTAAAAACCAAGACAGCTCAGAGGGCAGGAGTGCATGGAGCAGAAGGACACAGAGAAAAGATAACCACGGGGAGGAACCGGGAAGACAGATGTTACATTATGTGGACTGCAATCAATGTCATGAAACAAAATGTGTATGAACTGTTGTATGGAAAATGAATTTGCTCTATAAACATTCACCCAAAACATAATTTAAAAAAATACTTTTAACAGTAAGTTCAAATAAAAATTAAAAGTACCTATATGATATGAGGACACCACCAACAGAGAGACAATCAGCAATAATAAACAAGACAATAAATATCTTAAAGAGTCATCCAGATATATGTTTTAAATGTTCAATCAGGTAAATGAAGGCACAGGAATCATAAGGCCAAGAGAAAGACAGTATGGAAGGAGGGAAAAAGGGAAGAGTCATATTAGAAAGAAAGAAATTATAAAACAGAAAAATGTGGTCTCTAGAGCAAAAAATCAGTTGCTAAATTAAAATAACTTACAGTGTAAGACGAAAACAGTCAATTGAAATAAAACCAAACCAAACCAAACTCACTGCTGTCAAGTAGGATCCAACTCATAGAGACCCTGCCTTGGGTTTCTGAGGCAGTATCGCTATGGAAGTAGATTGCCCAACCTTCCTTCTGAGGAATGGCTGGTGGGTTTGAACCTCCAGTCTTCCAGTTAGCATCCAAATGCCTTAGGCATAATGCCACCAGAGCTCCTAATTAAAACAAAGATATAACTAAAGCACAAAGCAGGATTGAGAATGACCACCACCACCATGGATTTACTCACTCTTTAGGAAGATCAACCCTACAAGATCAAAAGGGCAGCATTTGCTCAGGCATAAAGCTCAGAAGGGAGGAAGAGGTAGGAAAGAAGGATGAATGGAAACGGCAAACACAGAGAGAAAGTGGGAAGAGTGCTGTTACATTGTGGGGATTGCAATCAATGTCACAAGACAAAATGTGTATGAGTCATTGAATGGAAAACTAGTTTGCTCTGCAAACTTTCACCCAAAGCACAATAAAAATTTATAAAAAGCAACATAGAGGAATAAAGAAAATACGGAAGAGAATTTAAGAGACCTAGAAGAGAGAAAGACAAGTTCTAAAATTTGTTGTTGTTGTTCTTAGGTGCCGTCAAGTCAAGTCCTACTCATAGCGACCCTATGCACAGCAGAAAACATCACCCGGTCCCATGCCAGCTCCGCGATCCTTGCTATACTTGAACCTATTGTCGCAGCCACTGTGTCAATCCATCTCGTTGAGGGCCTCCCCTCTTTTATCGACCCTCCACCTTACTAAGCATGACATCCTTCTCCAGGGAATGGTCCCTTCTGATGAAATATATCTTACACGAATTTTAGGACAGAAAAATTAAGGTGTTAGGAGGTATTATCATTAAACAAATAATATTTCAGAATTTGTTTAAATGTTCCAGCATTCATGACATGAATCCTTAATTTTGAAAATCATACCAAATTCTATGTATAAGTAAAACCAAATATATATGTGGATAAATGCTAAGTTATATTCAAGAATGAAAGTGAAACCAGAGAAAGATTTTCAGACATACAAAACTACAAATTACTTCTCACAAACTAGAAATAATGTCCTTGAAAGAACTACTAAAGGATGTATTTCACAAGAAGAAAAATGAACCTAGAAGGAATGAATGGGATATAAGAAACAACAGGAAACATACAATTGGTCAGCAAATTACTAAATGTTAGTAAGTATGGGCAGGCAGTCCCTGGGATATAAATGTCCAACTTATGTACAACCCATAGTTAAGAACCATCCCTTGTACAGCCTATTATATTAAAAATTCAAGGTATACAGTCTGATGGAGCCTGATGGAACCACTGAGACTATGGTCCCTCGTTGCCGTTCAGGTCTGGAATTGAGTCCACTCCTGTGGCTTCCAGCCAAAAAAAGAGAGGCATATCAGCTAAACATTTACATTAGGTAGATACACTCCTTGGAGAGATCAATCTGGGGAGAATAGAAGGGCTGTGTATGCACAGCGAGACAGCCCTGGGGCAGGAGTGCATAGGAGGTAAGGACACAGGAAAGAGGTAACTATGTGGAAGAAGTGAGAGTGGAGCTGTTGCATTGTGGTAAATTGTAATCAATGTCATGAGACAAAGTGTATGTGAGCTGCTGGATGGAAAGTGCATTTGCTCTGTAAACTTTCACGCAAATCACAATTAAAAAAAAAAATTCAAGGTATATACAGTAATTTGTAATAACAAAAAGGCACTACTTTGCAATGTGCATCAAAATATTATTATTACTTGTGGTGTAGTAAATTATCTGGTTCAGCTTTTCTAACATAAGTCTTTGTAAACTCCATGGTGGAATATGCCGTGAGCAACTGAGAAGCTCCTTATGGTTAAAGTTATCCACCTGAGGTATTTGCTGCAAGTGGCATAAAGCAATGTTCTGGAAGTTCTCTCTCTCTCAGGTATTTAGAATTCACATGTTATGAGTGGTTAGTTTGGCCACTCTGCCAGGCTCAAAAGGAGCCCTCCAAGAGGCAGAAGGGGTCTCTCTGACTGCTGGCTGAGGAAGACATGCTCCTGAGAGACATGCGCTGCTGAGAAAGAGACCGAGAGACACGTGCTGCTGGGAGAGAAACTGTTGGCTGAGAGACAGCGGGCCAAGAGAGACTGAGCTTTGTTTCTGAACTTGAATTGTAGCCTGGTGCTTCCCTAATAAACCCCATAATCTGTGAGTTCTGCGTGGCCACTGCAGTGAATTATCGAACCTAGCAAAGAGATGGTGGGCGCTGTGGGAGAACAGTTGGTGTCAGGATTGGTGAAAGGGCTGGAGGGAGGCAGCATGCAGCATGTCTGGCCTCACAGGAATAGGCTGATGGTGATTCTGTCTTCCTCTTGTGGAGTTAGAGGAGGTTAGAAGATGCAGCCTCCTTGCCCCTTTGGCATACTGTATCACTATGTTAAAGATGCAGTGTATCTGGAAGTATTTCTTTAATGTTTTTTTACTATTACTAAGATATTCATAAACTGTACCTAATTTTTGACTTATGTACAAATTTGACTTACAGACAGACTTAGAAACAGAACTCATTTGTAATCCCGGGATTGCCTGTAGTGGCATTTTTGTGGGATTAAAACGAGGTCAAGATGAGAAACAATGGAAGCTCTCTTAACAAACCTTATTTAACCAAATTATTGCCACGAGATAAACCTAAGCTCTCCATTCCTTCCCTAAAATGTAATGACTATGACAATGGAAGTATTTCAGTTAGTAAACTATTCTTAAGAAATCTTTCCCATGTTGCTGGTGTTGTTATGTGCCATCAAGTTGATTCCAACCCACACTGACCCTACAGGACAGAAGAGAACTGCCAAACAGGGTTTTCAAAGCTGTAATCTTCATGGAAGTAGATTACCATATCCTTCTCCTCGGAATGGCTGGCTGATGAGCAACATTTTGATGAGCAACCGAGCTCTTAAGCCCTGCAATGCCAGGGTTCCTTCTCAGAAGTCACAGACATCCTTCTATATCATCTTCTAAAAAATTTAAAATCTACTAGGAATTGACTTCAGAGTATGGTGTGAGGTGGTGATCCAATTTCCTTTTAAGTAAGCTGCTCTTTAATTCTATCATGCTCTTCTTTTCATGAGCTGGAGTATAAACTTACTGCGATTGAGCTGTAAATTTTCTCAAAGTTAATGATACTCATACAAAGAAAATTCTTCTCTGAAAATATCAAAAATTTTAAAAGACTTGATAAAGGGGAAAAAAATGCCAATACATTTAGTGTAGATAAGACAATTATAAAAAAAATTACTCAAAAAAAACGATAAAACTTTAGATTTTGATATTTTCATAAATATATGAATAGGTATAGGAGCTGTGGTAGCGTAGTGCCTAAGGCACTTGACTGCTAACCAGAAGGCTGACAGTTCAAACCAACCAGCCATTCCTCGGAAGGAAGGTGGGCTATGTACTTCTGTAGTGATACTGCCTCAGGAATCCAAGGAGGGGTTGCTATGAGTCAGGTCCAACTTGACGGCATGTAACAACAACAAACAACATGAATAGGTATATCAAAGATCGTGAGGCTGGCACAGGACCAGGCAGTGTTTCGTTCTATTGTACATAGGGTTGCTATGAGTCAGAGACGACTTGACAGCACCTAACAACATTTTCATGAAAACCAATGTTTTCATGTTTGCTGGAGAAAGATGATGTAGAACTCTAATCGATAAACTTGAGCAAAATTAAGGGGTTAAAACAGTCAAAAGACTGGTGAACAAAAATACATTTCTGTATTTTAAGTTGAAACATTAGAAACAAACAAGATGACAAATATTGGACATAATCAGGAAGTGTATTAAAAATATAGCAGAAAATTGCATACTTGTCTTGTACATAATCATGCTGAACCTGAATGGAATGCACTACTCTTATCTCGTTATCCGACATTTCACATTTACAACAAAAGTGAAAAATCTATCCAACTATTCTGCACATTAATGATGTACGTCTGGCACTGTAACAAATGCCAAAGTGCAAGGCAAGAGTAACACTAGCTGTGATGGTCAAGGTTCTGTGTCATCTTGGCTGGGCCGTGATTCTCAGTGGTTTGGCAATTATGTAATGATACTGTCATCCTCCATTTTTGTTTAATGCTGATTTTCACATAATGACTGGGTCTTTGGAACTAATCATGTTGGTAGGTGAGGAGTGGGTATAGTACTTAATATAATTCAAGAAATACAAATTGTTACAAACTGAGAAGATGGAAAATACTATAAGAATGACTAAGGTGAGGGAAGAGGTAACTATGGGAAGGAAGTGGGAGGGGAGCTGTTGTATTGTGGTAAACTGTGGTCAATGACATGAGACAAAGTATATGTGAACTGCTGTATGGAAGTGAATTTGCTCTGTAAATCTTCACCCAAATCACAATTAAAAAAAAAAAAAAAAAGAATGCCCAAGGTGAAAGAATGATTTTTGTATAAAGAGAATCTGAAAGAGGAGAGCTAAGAGTAGCTTGATTTTCAAACTTACCATTTTTTGCCAACTGCTGGATTAGGGGGCCCGGAGAGGGAAAGAAATTATCATTGGCCATTGGTTCTTTTTCTATGGCTTCTTCACTGGCATGACTCATAGAGAAATTAAAAGGTAAAAGAAGTTAATATTAAACCTCTGAGGAAAAAATTAATCTTCATATATATCATCAAGTCCAAACTAATGTTAAATTCTGCTTTATGAGACAGAAGTCCCAAGGTATGGATCTTTTTTTTTAAATGCTTATAATTCAAAAGAGATTAAGAACCATGTTCTATTGGTGCCCCTGACTTTGAAAAGGATTAAGAATCTTTGATTTAAAGGAAAGCAGTAAGTTCAACTCCTTAGGATCCAAACACAGAAACTGTAGAGTTCATGCCTTCAAAATCATAAATGGGGTTTAACAAGCAGTTTACAGATAAAGATTAACAATCTGGCATTTTTTTAAAACTGATCTTGTCATCTTATTAAAGTTATCCTAGACAATTACTTAGATCTCTGGAACAAAATTATAAACAGAAGCTCTGGTAGTGTAGTGCCTAAGCCATTTGACTGCTAACCAGAAGGCTAGTGGTTCGAACCCACCAGCCACTCCTTGGAAGGAAGGTTGGGCAATATACTTCTGTAGTGATACTGCCTCAGAAACCCAAGGAGGGGCCGCTATGAGTTGGGTCCGACTTGACAGCACATAACAACAACAACATGACTGAATACTACAACATAGTCCAGGATTGATTTTCACTTAGAATGTTTTCAAATAAAAACTGGGATATATTGAACCATACTGTTCTTAACATTCTGTATAAAAATTAAAAAAGAAAAAAAAAATGTAAAATATGTCACACATACAAAAGAATGTATATTTAGCGTGAAATGTTTAATAATAAAATTAATACCTATTCATCCACCATTGTGCTTATGAAATAAATCATCACTGATATCCTTGTCATCCTTTATGGAAACTTCTTAACTAGGTCTCCCTTAGAGGGATTATAAAACTTCATACAAGTGAAATGATAGTGTTGTCTATATATCATTGCACACTTTTTTTTTATTTCTCTTGAATTCATTTCTATAAATGAAATTTCATATAGACTTTGACATACACTGCCACTCTGCCCTACAGATTCACCAATGCCCATCAGCATTATAAACATTTATTTTCCCACAACCCCTCAATACCACATGCTGCCTATCTTTTTTGATATTATTTTGATATTAATAAGCCCATTTAAAACCTGGAAATGGTACACATGCATCTGGATAGATGAAAAATAAAATCTCATTTTTAATTTTATTACTTATGAGGTTCAACATGTGAGCACAGGCTTACTGGTAACTTGTTCATGTTCAAAATTGGGATGTTTGTCATTAATTAACTTAAAATGAGTTTTTAAGACATGTATCACCAAACTTCAAATTATCTACTGCCAGTATTAACTGATGTGAGACAATTAAATACCTTTCTTTAACATATACACACACACGTATATATGTATATATATATAGGAGCTCTGGTAGCACAGTGCCTAAGGCACTTGACTGCTAACCAGAAGGCTGGTGGTTCAA